ACATACATACATACATACATACATACATACATACATACATACACATGTATACTCTAAATGAATGTTATCACTGTAAAGGTGTAACTTAAATTTTTAAACAAGATTTGAAAAAAGATACAAAGGTGTTACACTCCAGTCTAGTAATTATAGGGGAAAATTTGTTTTATGTGAAAAGATAATATGAAATTGTAAACAGGACAGACAAAAGTATAAAAACATTGATTAGAAAGATTTTAAAAATTAGAAAAAGATATGTAATTGAATTAAGAAAGGAATGAGATAATTTAAAATGAGACTATAGGAAGTAAAGAAAGGGAAAAGCTATTGAAAAAATTGCAAAAATAGTTATAAGATATGGATTAGAACGTATAAGGTAAATATGTATTGAGTTTATGTCTGTATGGAGAAGTGATAACCTGGGGTCATGCTGTTCTCAAAAAAAGATATTTTATTTGTATTTGTACGTTTTGTGAAAATTTAAAGAAAACTTTTATAAAAAGAAAAAAAAAGAAAACCCCTGATATTGCATTAATATTGTACTATACAGTAGAATTCAACAGAGCTACTGCCCTGGGATAGAAGCTGTTTTTCAGCCTATTTGTCCTTGTTTTTATTATCCTATATCATCTGCCAGATGGTAACAGTTCAAAAAAAGGGTGCCCAGGACGAGATGGATCTTTGAGGATGTTTTGAACTTTCTTAAGGCAGCGGGAGCTATAAAGCTCTTCCAAAGAGAGGAAGAGAGCAACCCATGATCCTCTGGGCAATGATATTCACCCTCTGGAGTGCTGTCCTATCTTCCACTGTGCAATTGGCAAACCATACAGAGGTGCAGTAAGTTAAGATACTCTCTCTGGTGCAGCGGTAGAAGGTCACCAGCAGTTTTCCATTCAGCTGTTGTTTCCTGAAAAGTCTCAAGTAGTATATAATCTCTGCTGGGCCCTTTTGACCAGGGATGCAATATGAGCATCCCAGGTCTTTTAGGGAACACCCAGAAACTTAAAACTGGTCACTTGCTCCACTCCGTCCCCATTGATAAGAGCTGGATGTCTGATCTGTTCCTTCTATATAGTCCACTATCAGCTCCTTGGCCTTATTGGTGTTGAGGACCAAGTTATTGTCTCCACACCAGGAAAGCAACCAACCCCAATGAGTCCCACCACTGTTATCTCAGACCAGCTGCTGGGGGGGGGGGGGGGGGGGGGGGAAATTTTTGGGCCCCACACGGAAGTAGTGTGGTTTGTGGGGGGGGGGGGGGGGGGGGGGGTTGGGACCCCTTTTCTGCCCCCTCCTTCCCCGCCTGGGAGCGCGGCTGGCGGCTTGCGCTAGCCGAGACTGACAAATTTCCTGTCTCCACTTTCACTTTGGGTCCGCCAGCACTTTCCCCAAACCTCTCGCCCTTGCTGGGCTGGCTGCTGAGCCAAGGAGGGTCCGGAAGCGAAGGAGGCGTGGGGTCTTCCCGGCAAGGGGAAGAGGAAGCGGGCAAAGCCTCCTTCTGGTTCAGAAGGCAGGGAAGTTCCAAGCCGAGCGACACCCGTGTCCGGGCGCTCGCGGGCTTTTCTCGGGGAATCGCTGTATAATCCAAAGAGCCGGGCGGGCAGGTCGTTGCTATCCTTTCCGAGGTAGGTTATTCTCTGTCCGGGGGAGGAGAGCAGGTCCCCGCGTTGTGTCGGGGTGGAATCCAGGCGCAGCTGGAGAACGCGGGACGCGAACCCGTCGTGGAGCTGCGCGCTTCTTTGCCTAAGCAGCGCTAAAGCAACCGGGAGCGCTACGAAGCGCTTCGAAGTAATAATGGTAATGATAATGAGGGGAGGAGGAGGAGGAGGAGGAGGAGAAGGGAAGGAAGGAAGGGGGAAAAAAGTCCTTTTGGGGTTGCTTTTTTCTGCCTTCTCTTCTAACCGGCAGCATTGCTGGAAAATCCTTCCCTTCCCGGAGACTTTCTTCCCTCCTTCTTGCAACTCCAACGTGGTTACAACAGCAACCCGCTCCCCAAATCCAGACGGATTGGGTCTTGGCTTCAATGGTACAAAATGCGCTGGGTGGATGAAAAATTAGGTTTGGCCACCCAAACGTCCCTTGGCTTTCATGTGCTGGTTTTCAGACGTTTTCTAACCCCGTGGGTTATTTCAGCCTGACTTCCTCTTTTGAAGCAACAACATGAGTCTGAGAGAGAGGAGGGGGGGAGGGGGGGAGGGGGAGAGAAAGAAGAAGGAAGAGGAGGGAGGGAGGAAGAAAGAGAGAGAAAGAAGAAGGAGGGAGAGAGGGAAAGAAGGAGGAGCAGGAGGAGGAGGAGGAAGGGGGGGAGGGGGGGAGGGAGAGAAGAAGGAGGAGGGAGAGAGAGAGAAAGAGAGAAAAGAAAGAAAGAAAGAAAGAAAGAAAGAAAGAAAGAAAGAAAGAAAGAAAGAAAGAAAGAAAGAAATGACCAGGTAGAGGAGATTATTTTCCCTAGAAACAGTAGCAGTCATTGTTAGAACTGGCTATGATTTGCTCCTAGGGAGAAAATCCTTGGAACAATTCCTACCCCAAAGCTTTTTTTTTTTTTAATTCCCAGGGCCTGATTTGAGGTACCCCAGGAATTTTAAGCAAGACAAAATGGATGCGGGTAGACTTCGATTCACAACATTTCCTTTAGTGACTGTTCAAAGTTACACTGGCACTGAAACAGCGACGCACGGCCATTTTTTGTACTGAATGACCATGGCAATATACCCAGGGTTACATGCTCAACATTCAGGTGCTTGATTTAGTAAAACTCGCTTCACCACTCTCTTGCTTAGCAACAGGAAATTTTGGGCCTCAGTGGCGGTCATAAGGTACCTGAAAAAGTTTGGTAGCTTGTTCACGGAGCTCTTTTGTTCTTGTACAAAAAGTGCTTTTGTATTTCAGGATTTTATTTTATTCCATTTTATGTTTTTTTTTTTAAAAAAAGAACTATAGATAGAAGACTAACGCTTCCTTAAGAGCTAAAGAGAATTAGATTCTCTTGGGCCTCAAGAGGCAAGGGGGAAAAATAAGGGAAGCGATCAAACTCCATGGTAGTGTTTTGGGAATGAAAAAAACCAACAAGGGTCCTTTAACAGAACCTCAATAACGTGTAGCAAAACTTTAAATAGAAGTAAAAGACTTAAATGACATTGCGTTCTTTCAACGTCACAAAAAGATCTAGACATATCTGGTAAGGCGGCTGTGGGAAACAGATTTAGTCACTGAGATTTATGAATATTGAAGAGCCACAATGTGGAGGAAGTAGCTGCTATTACAACACCTTGTAACCCCCCCTCCCCCCAGTAAGAAAGGAACTAGGAGAGTGAAACGTGCAAGTGATCTTAGAAAAGCTCAAAACACAAAGGGAATATTATGTGCTGCTTAATTCCTCCCCAAATCACCCAAATGAAATCGTCTCGTAGAATCCCAGAGAGCTATTGTGTTACTTTAGAGAAGTTTGCAGCGAATCATGTTTCTAGTATCTTAGAAGACCAAGATATGCTTAATTAATATGAACTTTTGGGATAATGCACACTTGGTATTCAGCAGGTTCCGACCAGTTCTGGAGAACCGGTAGCGGAAATTTTGAGTAGTTTGGAGAACTGACAAATGCCACCTCTGACTGGCCCCGCCCCCATCTATTCTCTGCCTCCCAAGTCCCAGCTGATGGGGTGGGTCTTTTTTGGTTGCACTGCACAGGAGAACAGAGCTGGAAAGCAGGTTAGTGGGGTGGGGAAGGAATGGGATTTTGCAGTATCCTTCCCCTGCCACGCCCACCAAGCCATGCCCACAGAACCGCTAGTAAAAAAATTTGAATCCCACCACTGGGCTAATGTATTATTAACAGACGTTCCCGTTATTCTGTTAAGGTTTCATTTATTATAAGGAATATTGAATAGAATAGAATGGAATACTTTATTGGCCAAGTGTGATTAGACACACAAGGAATTTGTCGTGGTGCAGATGCTCTCAGTGCGCATAAAAGAAAAGATACATTCGTCAAGAGTCAAAAATCATAAGATACAACACTTAATAATGGTCATAGGGTACAATAAGCAATCAAATCATACTAGGAAACAGTCAATATAAATCGTTATGATACAAGTGACTAAGTTACAGGGGATGTAATGGGAGGAGTGATGATAAGATTAATACTGAAATATTAAAGGCTGACCATAGTATTGTACTGGGATTTTTTTTTTAACAGAACGATGTCCAGTTGAGAAGAAGGCCTAAATCCTACTGTCCTATGGCCGGAAGGAAAATGTCAGCTACGAATAATTTTCTCTCTATTTGTATATTTGTGATAACCTCATGGAATTTCACCCACTCAAGTGGACTTATAGCAAATTACTCAAAGGGCTTCCTGTTCACTGTTCCTAAACATTTATCAACACAAACAACAGTTCTGGATCTATCCAATAACAGTATATCTACATTGGAAATCTCTGATTTTCGTTCTCTTCCCAACTTACAAGTGCTAATTCTGTCTCACAATTCTATCAGCAAAATTGATTTGGGGGTTTTCCAGCACAACAAATTCTTAGAGCACCTGGATCTGTCTCACAACATGCTAAGGACTGTTTCTGGTTTTCCTGTTAAAAGCCTCAAGCATCTAGATCTCGCTTACAATGACTTTACTGATATGCCGCTCTCCACCGAGTTCACCAAAAAAACAAAGCTGAACTATTTGGGAATTAGTACTAGAAAACTTTCAAGTGTCAACGTTCTTCTGCCTTTACAACTGGACACGCTGTTACTGGGCTTAGAAGATCTTTATGAATACAGGCCAGGAAACCTCCTCGTGTTCAATGCAAAGACGGTTCGGATTGTGCTCCCTCAAAGAGCAGACTTTCGCATCCTCTCAGATCTACGATTCAACGGTACAGAAAGTTTAGAACTTTCTAAGATCCCATTGGAGCAAATGGGAGACTTAAGAACATTTCTGACGCTGAATGAAACAAGCACATTGCTAAATCTAACAATAATCAATACAAAATTCACTTGGAAAGACCTCATTGACAGCTTCAAAGCAGTGGGGGAATCCACTATTAGTCACTTAACCATTTTATATCCAACCATTACTGAATTCAATGCTGGATCTTTTAAAAATGTGGATCCCTCATTAAAAAGTTTAACCATCAAATATGGGCAACTTGATACAGCAAAATTTGACCAAAACATTGTGTACTCAACTCTTTTCAACTTGAACATTGACAGCTTGACTATTTCTGATACTGGTATATTATATATATATTGTCCTGAAGCAGACAGTAGATTTAAATATTTAAGTTTTAAAAACAACACATTGACTGACACAATGTTAAAAGGTTGCAAAAATTTAACTAGTCTACAAACGTTCATTTTACAAAAGAATAGACTGGAAGATCTTACCCAAGTGAGTTTAATGACAACTAACATGACCGCTCTGAATTATATGGATGTAAGTAAAAATTATCTGTATTACAAAGACAGTGAAAACAAATGCAACTGGGGTGAACATATAATTAAACTGAATTTGTCATCCAACAAGTTAACAGACTCTGTTTTTAGATGTTTACCGAACAATATCCAAATGTTGGACTTACAAAGTAATCAGATTTCAGCTGTACCTAAAGAGATCATTGACCTGACTGCTTTAAAGGAGTTAAATTTGGCTTCTAACAGACTCAATGCTTTTCCTGGATGTCGCCATTTTAGAAACCTTCAGGTGCTTAACGTAGAAACTAATTTTGTTCTTGACCAGTTTTCTGAATTCTTCCAGACCTGTCAGAATATTCGAAGATTAAAAGGAGGACATAATCCCTTTGGGTGCCACTGTGAATTAAGGCAGCTCATTCATCTTCAAAAACAAGAATCTGTGGCATTGGATGGTTGGCCTGATGCTTATATGTGTGAATACCCCAGCGACTTAAGGGGAACTCTCTTAAGAGATTTCCATATTTCTGAACTTGAGTGCAATGTGGCTCTCTTGATTACAGTGATTTTAGCGGTCGGTCTGTTCGTGATAGCTGTCGTTGCTTTCTTCTGCGTCCGCTTCGATGTTCCCTGGTATTTGAAGATGATCTGTCGTTGGAGCCAGGTGAAACACCGGCTATGGAAGAATAAATCGGAAGAGATCCCCGAGAGCATCCAATACCACGCATTTGTCTCCTACAGTGAGCACGATGCTAACTGGGTCAAAAGTGAGCTCATCCCCAATCTGGAGAAGGAAGACGGGTCCTTAAAGATCTGCCAACACGAGAGGAACTTCATCGCAGGGAAGAGCATTGTGGAGAACATCATCGACTGCATCGAGAAAAGCTACAGGTCCATCTTCGTACTATCTCCCAATTTTGTGCAGAGCGAGTGGTGCCATTACGAGCTATATTTTGCTCATCACAAGTTATTCAGCGAAAACGCCAACGGTTTAATTCTCATTTTGTTGGAGTCCATACCGGCCTACATCATTCCCGCCAGGTACTACAAACTCAAAGCTCTCATGTCCAAAAGGACCTACTTGGAATGGCCAAAAGACAAGAGGAAGCATGCATTTTTCTGGATTAATCTCAGAGCAGCTCTTCAGATTAAACTGCCAAACTCTGAAGAAATTGAAGAGCCCTAGGTAAGAATGCTGACTATCAAAACACGTTGGTGTTCCTCATTTTTTAATTACAGAAACATAGTTTTTGGTAGTGTTGGAAGAATTATCCTGCTGGGTTCAGTTCCAAGTGGGGAAAAAGACACTGAAAACACGGAGGCTGTTAGGAAAGGTGATTTAATGGTGGACAGGAGGACCACATGGCTTGGAGCTCCAAAGAAGGAAGGCTGAGATGCTGAGAGTCCCTTGGTTTTATAACCCCTGTTGGGATTTGAATTTGAGCTTGTATTCTGATTGGTTGTCAGACTCCCATGGGGCCATGCAGGGGCAACTCTGTAGGCTGTCCTGAGTCCCAGGCTTGGTTGAGCCTTGCTGGGTGATGATGTAATGAAAGGACTTTGAGCAGTTCCTATTATTGCTGTCTCTGGAGATCTTTGTTATGTAAAATAGGCTGGCCTAGGCCAGAGTAATGGACCATTAGCAAATGTGGGTGTGGGGTGAGTTTCTGCTCTTCTTAGGGAAAATATTCTGCCTTATTAATATTTCCTAGGATATTTCAATTTTCTAGGAGAGAGGTGGGTTTTAACTTCCAATAGTAGTGTAGTAGTTACAAAAACCAAGTTGTCTTTTGGGTTGTGACTTAAAGAGCAGAGGGATGTCTAATTCGACTTTATCCATACCAGTTTTATATATTTAAAATATTAGATTAATACTTTCCCCCTTTCTAGTTCTTGCATTTCTGATACGAGATGACACAAGATCCATATCAGTTATGAAAATATCTAAGCACTACTCTGTAAAGGAGACAAATGTTGCCTGCCTACTGATGTATATATTTGAAGACCCCAGAAATCATTTTTGCATGAGGGTCCTTGACACTCTCGGAGCTGGGTGTTTTTTTTACAGATATTTCATGACCCAATTAGGTAATATCATCAGCACTAGAAGGAGATAGAGGTGGAGGAGAAGAAGGGGAGGACTGTGAGATCCTTGGTGCTCTCTGAGCTTGGTGGCTTTCTTGCAGATGTTTCATGACCCAGCTAAATAACACCATCAGTGGTAGAAGGGAGTAGGCCTTCTAACTCCCTTGTAGCACTGATTATGTTACCTAGTTCGGTAATGAAACGTCTCTACAGTAATATCACCAAGGTCAGAGAGCACCAAGATTGAACAGTTCAACCCTGAGCTATAAATATTCTCCTCCATTGGTATTACTTTTGTTTGTCATTTCACTGGTATGGAACTTTTTTTAAAAAATGAGGGAAACCCCTCCCCCCCTAAGATAAACATGCACACATAAACCAGGCAACTAATATTACAATATATTACAGCATTTGTATGTCTTAAAATTTCTCTACCTATTTTCATGCTTTCCAGGTATATAAACATCTAGTTTTTTTTTCTTTCGCTACTTTTATCTATTTATAATCCTCTGCTCCATTTCCCATCTGCCACCCCCCGGTCAAAGACAGCTAACTTGATACTTGATGCACTAATTTTCATATATGTATTTGTTGCATTGCAGAATCTAATAAGGAGGGAAAAAGTCACTTGGGTAGCCAGGAATAAGGCATCATCTGCATATAAAATTACAGATGCATTCTAACACCACCACATACATCCCTTATCTATTTCTTGATACATTAAACAACCTAAAGGCCATTACACATCCCTGCCTTACTCTTTGCTCAGAATCAAACCATTCACTAAACATTGCACTTATTCTTGTGCATTCTTTATCTGAACCATAAATTGCTCTTATAACAGAATAATAGAGTGGGAAGGGACCTTGGAGGTCTTCTAGTCCAACCCCCTGCTTAAGCAGGAAGCCCCATACCAGTGATGGCTAACCTTTTCGGCACCGAGTGCCCAAAACGCACGCACATCGCCAATATGCCATGCCTGTATATAAGTCTAAGCGCTATTGCTAATCGACTAACTTTTTTTCTTACAGGAACAGTGTGGATGGAAAGGAATCTGCTCTCATATCGACAAGATCTGATGGCTGTGGTTTTTATGTTCCCTACTACTTTGTGATTTGGGAGTGGCATCTCCCAGCCTGAGCTGGTACACAATCTGGACTCATGGTTCCCACCTAGAGTGCAAGTGGCAGCCACGTCCAGAAGAATCTTTGCAGAAATATATCTTATTTCCTTTCCTAGGTCGGGAAACACTGCATCACTGGTATTAGAAGTATTAGTACCGCTTTATAAAACCGTAGTAAGACCACACCTGGAATACTGCATTAATAAAAAAAAAGTGTTGAAACTCTAGAAAGAGTACAGAGAAGAAGGACAAAGATAATTAAAGGTCTGGAGACTAAAACATAGGAAGAATGGTTGCAGGAACTGGGTATGGCTAGTCTAGAGAAAAGAAGGACTGGGATGACATGATAGCAGTCTTCCAATATCTCAGGGGCTGCCACAAAGAAGAAGGGGGTCAATTTATTCTCCAAAGCTCCTGAAGGCAAGACAAGAAGCAATGGTTGGAAACTAATGAAAGAAAGAAACAACCTGGAACTAAGGAGAAATTTCTTGACAATGAGAACGATTAACCAGTGGAACTGAAGTTATCTTCAGAAGTTTGGTGCTCCATCACTGGAGGTTTTTAAGAAGAGACTGGAGGGACTTCCAGTTTGCCAGGCTTCGGCGATGGCAGAGATTCGCAATCCTGCACAATCCCTGCCGTGCTAGCCGTCTTGGTGCCTCCAATCCCGATTGGTCTGGAGGATAAGGCTGCCCCGTAGAGGCAGCCGAAGACAGGGGGGATCCGGATAGGGGTTTGGAGGTATCGCAGACCCCCTCCCCAGCCAGCAAAACCCCCTTTTCTCAAGGCGGTGGAACGGCAGTCTGTAATGGCCGCCACAAAGAAGCCGGCAGCTGGACAAGACTGTGCAGGACGAAGAAGGAGAAAGTTGTAGAGTGAAAGTTTTTTGGCTGAACCGGGACCTTTAAGATACATTTAATATCCTGAAAACCACAATCTTTTGGATGATACATTGTTTCCAGTGGAGGTTTTTAAAGCGGTGAATGGAAGTGCTGAAAGGGAAAGTTACTCTCCCTCCCTTACGGAGTTAACAAATGGACACTGAAAAACCTGCTTTTTTATAGAAGGTAAAAATTTAAAGCTCTTTGTTACAAGTGGGAAGGGAGAGGACTGAAAAAAAGAACTTATATTAAGGTTTTGTTGGAGGAGATGCCTTGAAGATTTAGAGACTAGAAGTTAACTGCAATAAGGCTTTAAAATACAGATTGGGTTTTTTTCTAATTGATATTACCCCAGGAAGAGAAATTGCAAAGGGAAGAACTTTGTGCTCTGTTTGGACTGCTTGATGGCTCTGGGACTTTGGGGAACTGTTTTAAGTTTTGAAATATCTTGGTTGGTTTAATAAGAAGAAGAGGAAAAAGAAAAAGAAGAAGAAAAGGTTTATAATGGCTTTACCTCTTGATGAACTAAGACAAGAACATGGAAAAACAAGGAAAGAAGGCAAGGACGCTGTGGGAGAAGCCTTTCGCTTTTTAGAAATGGTGCTTGCTATTTACCAGCAAACTCAACAACAGGTGGAGGAAGCAGAAGAAGAAGAAGAAGAAGAAGCCATTTTTAATGAATCAAAAAATTTAATCAAGAAAGAAAAGAGAAAGAGAGGAAGGAAAAGGAAGGACTTAAGACCTAAAAAAAAACCCAAGAAAGAAAAAAATAAGATGCAAAATCAATACAATGTTAGAAAGCAAAAGAAAAGAGGAATACAACAGAGAGGGGAAGCTAAAAAGGCGCAGGTTAGGAGAGGATGGGGTAAAAAGGCTAGGTGGGTTAAGAAAGAAAGGGAAAAGGGGGGGAAAAGCCACAAAGGTATAAAACAAGATGGGAAAAAGCAAATTTTGCTTAGGGATAAAGGGTAATGCATAATTTAAAAAAAAAAGATTCTGCAAAGTACATATGATTGTATTGTAGTGTTTGTATTAGAAATAGAAAATTAGAATTTTATAAGATTTAATAAAAGATTAAAAGATTAAAATGTTTAATAATGATAGATCCTAAGATTTAATAAAATATTAAAGGAAATGTTTAAAATATTTAGTTTAATTATAGAGTTTAATGGGCTATTGTGTTGATGTTATTATAGATTTATTATTGCAGCATTTGTTTTTGAAGAAGAGACTGGATAGCCATTTGTCTGAAATGGTATAGGGTCTCCTGCTTGAGCAGAGGGTTGGACAAGATGACCTCCAAGGGTTCTTCCAGCTCTATTCTGATTCCATTTGATTCCATTCATTAGTCATTTCCTATGTACCCTGTTGCCATGCCCTCTGCCTCAGTCTGTTCATGAAGACCATTCAGTATCTTCTGCATTAAAAAAGGATTCAAAAAATCAAATCTCCCCTCAAAAATAAAAAGGATGGAGGAAAATAATCAACTTGTGTCATCTCCAACTTCTCTTTAGTACACCTTACAAGGCTAACAGAATTAGGGTTTGTGTAGGCTAATCCTAGCCAATTTGTTAATATTTATGGGTTGCCTCAAAGCCAGATGTATAGGCGTTCAAATTTACAGCCGTCTTTGTCGTCATCCACAAAAGGAAGAACTTCTACAAGGTAGTCGCAGGAACATCCTGAGGTAAATTAAAACACCGTGCAGAACAGACAAAAAAAGGCGGGAAAAAAGGGAAACTCACCCTTTATATTTAACAGCAACCAATCGGAGCATAGATTGCCTCATGTATGAGTCAGCAAATTCTAATTAATGAACTACAACTGTGTGTTCTGGCTTATCGTACACCATATGCTGTTCCAGCCATTAAATTCAGTATCCTAACACCGATGGTGTTCAAGTGGCGCTCCAGATGTTTTGGGATTGCATTGCACCCAAGGCACTTATTACTATTGGTGAAATGGGACAACTTGCCACGGCCAACTCACCGTGGGACAACTTGCTGCAGCAAGACAATCTAATAATTTAAAATAAATGAGAAAAAAAATGTCATTCACATTTCATGCTGTCCCTCTTTTTGCACCTTTTCTTCAATGATTCTATTTCACTATTTCTTTAATGTTAGTGTAACTCTTGACCTGCAGTGAGTTGGCTGTGGCAAGTTGGCTGCGGTGAGTTGGTCATGGTGAATTGTCATAGATCGTACCATTGGTGCTATCTTTGCTTGCTTTTTGTCACCGTTGCTCTGCTTCTATTTCAGATCTTTGTGTTTAGTGATTTTCCCCAGGTCGTTCTCTTCTCTTCTGCTTTCTCCAGGCACTGCCACATCCACTATACAGACTTCTTTTTGGTCTTTCTTACTGACAATTGTTATGTTAGGTGGCAGGTGCCGGTTTGTTTGAATTCTAAAGTCCCAGAGCAATTTAACATCGCTTTTTATGACTTTCACTATTTTATGGCCCGACCAGTTCTTGCTTGCAAACAAATGATATTGTGATGACCCGGGGTGTGGCATGAAGGCAACACAGTCAAATAAGCAAGAAGAATCCCCTTATTATCTCCAACTTGGCCCACAATGTCCAAGTTACCTATGGCTGGAGAAAAACTCTCCCAGAAACAGCCTTTAAGTGGAGGAAATTCAGTCTGAAAACAAAGTACATACAAACTGTAACTAAAAATCCACACAAACCACACTGCAGCAATTAACTGGACAGGGCAGGAGAAGGAATTGCAGTTTGAAAGACCAGCAAAACACACACAGGTGAGAAGATGCCAGGAACGCAGATAAGCCTCGACAATACCAGATAATTCACGATTTGCTCCCAATAACTTTGCTGTGTGCAGCTTTCCTTTTTAAACACTGTGTTCCCAACTGCAGCTAATGAAGGGAATCAAGGCCCTTTCCTCACCCTTAAGCCATGCAACTCACATTGCTTCCTTCTCTCTTCCTCCCTGCGTGCCCTAGGATAAAGAGGGGGTGGGTCTGGTCTTCCTCTGAATTCCCTCTCCCTTGCTCTACCTCTTCCCTGCTCTGCCCAGCCGGACTGTGCCCTTTCCCAGTTTCTTCCACAGCCAAGGGAACCACACTCCCACTCCCTGTCACCTGCTCAGCCTCCTCCTTTGAATCATATTCAGACAGGGCATGACAGATATTTCTTGCAGGTCTTCCAATGTACCATTGTCACTACTTTGTCATGCCATTGCTTGTAGTCAAGTCTGTGCAATCTTCTTGCAGCAGCTATTATTATTATTGTGATTATTATTGTGATTTCAATTTTACTGGAACTTTCCTGGAACCATGAATTGCAGTGGGGAAGCATATACGCCATATATCCATACATTTTTTTTCAACCACACGGGTTAAATAAATTGGAACATTAAAAATAGCCCGCTGTAAGAAGTGAATGGTAATAATTTTCTCTCATACTGTATATGTATAATGTGCAAAATCTTCATGGAACATTGGGGACATCTAGTGGTGCTAGATATTCCTGGAAAAGGAGAAGTTTATGTTGCCTATAGGAAAATAAACTATTATTAGTGGAAGGAATAAGAAGAAACGCATTGGATTTTCTCATATGGGGCACCTTTTATGACTTTATGACATTTTGGCTACAAAATATTCTTGGCTAAAGGAGAAATAAGTAAGAGTGGGTCCATTCTCCTGAAAGCATCAGATAAGCTCGTTCGTCTGAAGACCAGTTACCTCTTTGGCTTAGTATCTAAAACACAAAGGACCACACAATAGTTTTTATCAAAGGATTAGGATCACAGATTGAGATGTAGTTCAGAAAGATTTAGTGCCCTAGTCCAGGGGTGTCAAATTCACGTCGTCACAGCAGCGTCACGTGATGTATCGGGACTTTCCACCCCCCTTCACTAAACCAGGCATGGGCATGGCCAGCCCATGATGCATTGTTCTGACCCAAACCCTTTTCCAATAAAACAAACACGAACCAAAGGGAACAGAAACCTTTTAATGATTCTTACGAATCCCCAGTTAAAAGGCTGCTGCAAACTAACTTTGATAAGCACAAACTGTGCGAGGCTGCCAAGAATAACAAATAAGGTTACCTAGAGATATTTTATAACACAAGAGTCTTCAAATGCCAACTTAACATACTGCAATGTCCACGAGTGCTCGAGTTTCAAAACGTCTTTGCTTCCTGCAAAGAAGGTCTGATTCACAGCTGGCTTTTATCTTCTTGAAGGAGGGGCCATTACCTTGCAGCCTTACTCCTGAGTCACCCATGCTGCTGCAGCTGCTCTTTCTTGCGAGCAGCCCTGCATGCACGCGCACTTGGCACAGACTT